GTCTATCTGGCCATGGCTAGTCATGGCCCATCTCTTCTCCCAGCTCCAGGTGTCACCATCTCCCTAATTTCTCTAGTACTGTCCCATCAGGTTATCACTGCTCCAGATGGTGTACACTGCTGGCTATGCATTGCATACTGCCTTTTTATCCCTCCAGTCACTTTACAAGTCCAGGTCTCTCCTGGTGTGGGTTAATAACAGGGTGCAGCCAAGAGGGGGCCCCCAAAAAGGTATTTGGAATGGGGTCCAGAACTCAGGGTGTCCAGGAAATATTAGAAAGACATATAAGATGTCCACACCCCTTACCCCTGCCCCCCACAGGTACCAGTTGGGGGTAGGGACAAATGGAGAGGGGCCATTGAGAGCTGTTTTGCATAGCAACGGTTTCACAGATAACCTGTAGAATGGTCATTTAACATATCTATAACCTTTAACTGGTTTCACAGATATGTTAAATAGCTGTGGCAATGCTTCGAGCCAGGGAGAAGGGGATGACTTCCACCCAGGATGTAACTGGGAGGCAACACCCCCTGGTTACAGTGCCTGCATGAGAGCTTGGAGATGATTGGCTCCACACCATGAGGCTGTGCCTGCCAAGACTCACAATGGCAGCCCAGTAAACTTGGAATATATGGGAGTGCTGGCAGATGTAGCTGGTTGTGGGAGGAGTCAGAAATGGGGCTGCAAAGGAGGACTGGCGCAGGGATTTAAACGAAGACATGGCAGCCATTGGAGGAGTACCACCCCGTATTGCCAGAGTGAGGACCAAGTGGCTGTGACAGTGCAGAGAGAAAGCCATGTGCTTCTGGCAGAGTGGGGACCCCTGCAGCCATGTGAAGGAAAGAACCATATGGTTTTGCCAGAGTGGCAACCCTACCCTCTCTGCAGCTCTGGTGAAGGAAAGAAGAGACTTTGCCTGGAAAAAGGATGGAAGAACTCTTTGCCAGTAGACCATGAGAAGATGCCACATGGCTTTGGAGTAATTAGAGGTCCTGCCTGGACAGCGACCCACTGGACGGTGCCAGCAGCCTGAAACATGGAAATGTGCTTCTTTTCTTGAGTTACAGTACCCCAAATTAGGGCAGGAGGGAGAAGGAAGGACTGTGGGCATCTGTGGTTATCCTAAAGGACTTTGATGTTTTAATGGGGGGCATTGGGTTACTACTTTAAGTCTGTGTATAGCTTTAATTAAACCTTACCTTTCCTTTTCACAAATCTCTGGCATTGAGAGATGTCTTTCCTCTGGCGGCGGACAGACGAGCCCAGTAGGTATTAGTATACCGTCCTTGGGAGGGGACCCTGTTGTTTTATAACAGTTTTTGGCATCCCTGGGTGGGCCAAATATTGCCCCCCCACACCTCTGTTTTCTAATAGGTTTGGGACGTCCCCACTCTGGGAGGAAAGGGAGCTGCTAGGTGGCTTTCACTGACCTGGATCTCCTCCAATGCTCCCGCAGTAGCTGTGATCTCTGGTGCACAGCCAGGGGACCTTCCCCTTGGCCTACAAAATCTCCTTACTTTCTGCTTTTAAGCATCCTCTGCACACTTTGGCTTCCAAACTTCATATCATCTGGGATTCTGTTGGCTGTTCACTCCATCTTAGCCAAGTAACCAAGGTTAATAAGACAACTCATGTTGATATTGTATGTCCCCATGATATCATGAGAAAGAGAGTGAGAGAGGGAAAGAGAACATTCTTCCTGTGGTATTCCTCCTAAAATTTGTAATTTTGAGATTAATTAGGAAAAAACATCAATCTCAGATGCAGTAATTTTCAAAATATCTGATCATTATTCTTCAAATATCTAATGTTCATGAAAGTCAAGGAAAGAACAAACAGTTACAGGTTGGAGGAGACTAAAACGAGATCGTGTAAATGTGATATTTTGCATTGAATCCTGAATCAGTAAAAGGATATTCGTGGAAAAAATGGTGAAATCTCAATAAACTATAATGTTTAGTTATGTTAGCAGGAAAGGGCACCAGACATTACCATACCTCAGCTCAGCAGCCTTGGTAATTGTGTTCTGGCTAAGAAAGAATTCAGAGCCAAGACTCAAATACAAGCAATAGTTTATGTAGAAAGTCACAGAGGTAGAAGAAATGAGCCATGGAAGAAGTAAGCCAGCTGGGCTACATGGGCTCAGAAAACAAATTACAGAGGCAAGAGTCCTTGGAGCTTAGGAAAAATAAAGGCAGAGAGAACACTCCTGGAGGAGGGAGAGGAAAGGTACTGAAATGTTCCAGAGAGAAAAGGAGTGCATGGAATCCTTTGTCTTGAGGGTTTTTATCTGCTTTCCAAAGGCAGGTACATAGAAGTAGTTCCAGCGGAAAAGCACAGTAGAATGTTCATCAGCATTCCAGGTATGTCCTTTCGGGTTGTAGTCTCCACTGACTGGTTGGTGCCAGGGCAGGGGGCATTTGTCATTGCAGCTGGTGTGTGGGGGCGACTTCTTCATGAGTCCCCCTGGTTCCACGGACACGCATGAATGAATAAATATGGCCAAGGCATGCTGAGATCTGTTTGGAGAGGAGGAGTGAACTGTGGCCAGTCTCCCTGGGGAGACAAAGGCCAGCAGTGGCCAGTTTCTCTGAGGAGGAAAAGGCCCTGAGCGTCCTCTTCCATAGCCTTTTATTGGGTTGTAATACACAGGAATACAGGGCAGCAAGGATCAAACAGTAGATAACACTTCAAAGATATCTGGGGGCTTCAGAGTCTGAGTCAGTGTCTGTCAGGAAGAGAGTTGCAGAAACTTTGGGAGACATACTCATTTCCTCTCGGACCCTTATTATATGAATGAAAGCACTGTTAGCAGAGCAGATTTCCCAGGTTTATCAGCAAGTCTTTGTGATGCCAGATTTTTCCCCAGGACACGCTCTAGCAAGGCAAGGAGCTGCACCTCTCCCCAACAGGTATTCAAGCTTAAGGGGATTAGAGCCAGGAAGTGCTACTCCCAGAGAACATGGGGACTTGGGCTATGTCAAAGCCAGGGGGTGAGAGTCCATTGCTCCCTCTTTGTTGCAGCCCCCCAAGTCCTTCCATGAAGGCCTCCCAAGTGATCGAGACTGGCTTAGGTTGTCCCCCGCTGTGAGGGGTCTTACCCATCATTGACTTCTGACCAAGGTTTGGGGACAGGGAGAGGAACTGAGGCAGCATTTGCTACCAGAGACAAGCTTTGTCTCCTGCGGCTGGCACTCCAAAGGTCATCTATCACCCTTAGCCACAAGGGGTAGAGATACAGTTGCTAAAATTAGGCAGAGCGGTCTACTACACTGGTGTTAATATCAACCATGTCATCATCCCACTTGTCCTTTCCCCATCTGGCCATGATACTTTTCTGGACCTGGAGCTAAAATCACAACTGAGGCCTGAATGTTATCTCTAGAACTTAGTGTTTAAGGGAGTGGTCATGCAACGCTCATATGGGAGTTATTCGAAGCTATTCTCCAGCTCGGTTCCTCCTTTAAGGAGAATCTATCACATGACTAGGACTGCCAGTGAAAGGTGAGGGGAAAGTCTAAACTGCTGGACCCATGATATGCTAGGGGAAAAAAGGTCACCATAGGGGTGAGGTCCTTGTTTTCCCAGTTTTGCCTATTGCTGCTATGCACCCAGAGTTTTCTGCCCTGGTGACTTTCTGTACCTGGCTTATCCCTCTTTTCTCTGCTCATGCCTAACTGCCTTTTACAATTACAATAATTATTCCTGGATTACTTTCTTAGTTTTGATAAATGTGCCATGGTTATGTAAAATGTTAACACTAGGAGAAGCTAGGTAAGGAGCATATGGGAATTATTAGCTTTGTAACTTTTCTGTAAATCTACAGTTATTAAAAAATTTTTAAAAAGTTAAAAAATGACATTGACCAAAAACAGTTCACTATATTTTGTTTCATAGAAAGCTCATCATAAAATGTGCCCCCCCCCAAAAAAAAACCCCTCACAGACACAGACAATAGTATAGTGATTTCCAGAAGGAAAGGTGAGTGGGGAAGTAGAAGAGGGTAAAGGCGGTGAGAGTGACGGAACATATTGTGTGTTCACTGAACTTACAGTGGTGAACACACAATACAATATACAGATAATATAGAATTGTATGCCTTAAACCCATATAATTTTATTACTAATGTCACCTCAGTAAATTCAATAAAAATTCACTGTAGCTGGTGTGGCTTAGAGTACTGAATGCTGGCCTGCGAACCAAAGGGTGTGGTATAGATCCCCAGTCAGGGCACTTGCCTGCGTTGCAGGCCATGCTTCAGTAGGGGACATGCAAGAGGCAACCACATATTGATGTTTCTCTCTTTTTTTCTCTCTCTTCCCCTTCTCTAAAAATAAATAATAAAAAATAGTAATATGGTCACATGATTGTACCGTGCTAAAATGTCAGGAGGATGTACACATAAAATATATATTTGGTGTCAGATAAATTTCAGTTGGTCTCAGGAAATGGTGTGTGCCCTCCAATTTATACAAAGTTTCTTACATAATGGCAATTTTTAGTATTAATACCAAATTGCTAGCTTGCTTTTCCCTCATTTTATAAAGATGATCGCAAATATTAGTTTAGATAAATTTATTTTCTGCTAAGAATTTTATCTAAAGTACAGTGACAACTGTTCACATTCAGACATGAAATTCATGCACACCTTTTGTTTCTCTTGAGAATCCTGGATCCTGACAGCGTACGTCTCTCAGATAGCCATCTCTCAATTCAGTAAACAAGGCAGAAAACCAGCTGGTTTCTAAAGGAGCAGGTGTGGTGTATATATTGGGAAAAGTAATCTGGAAAATGTAGTTAACATTTTAGGTGACACTCACTGTCCTAAATGCTTTCACAGTGTAAACACTTTTAATATTCATAAAAACCTTATTAGCTAATTACCGCTATTTAGCATGCTCTTACTGCTTAAGAAGGAGAACCACTTTGCCTGTGTAAGCCGTCACCCACCCCCGCCGCCGTGTCCTCCCTCTGCGCATGTGCAACCCCGCCTCCTCCTCTCGGGCTAGCCCTTCCGGGCCTCCAGCCCTCTGGGGGAAATAATCCCAGGCCTCCACGTCCACACTGCAAGGAGGGTGGAAGCGAGGGCCGCTGGGGCCCACACAGTTCAAGGGTAAGCCGGTGTCCCTTGATAGGGAGAAGTCCTACGAACCCCAGCGAGACTACAGGCGTCTGCAGCACTTAAGCTGAAGGAACGTCAGGTGGGGACTTCCCTGTCCAAAGAGGTGAGTGTCGGCGTGAAACAAGAGCCCTCGAGCTTCAGGGTTGGGGGGCGTCTAGCCCCTATGTGAAACAGACAGCGTCCTCGTGTGGCTGCTGATGGGGAGTGCGCGTGTGTGACGTGTGTGCTGGGGGAGAAGTACGCATGCACGGTAGGTTTTTTATTTGTGAAATGCCGGATTCGGGAATAGTTGCTGTATTGTTGTGCTGAGAGTTTATATTATGTTAGCTGCTTTATATTTCTTTATGTATATAATACGTGCGACTGGAGCTTGAACAAGTTTTCAGGGCCTCCATTTTTCAGTTAAATCATTGGGGAAATGGAACAGGGAAAGGGCTGGACTATCTAGCCCACAAGGCCCTTTCTTAGCTCTAACATTCTCCACATTCAAAACTATTATTTATTATGTTTTCATTTGTTGTTATGTATAATCATGACACAGTATCCTGAAGCCATGGACGGCTGTGTGATGTGGAAAGTCTGGGACAAATTTCAGAAGAGAGAGGTGAGATGGAGGTGAGGGGTGGGTGCATAAGCTACAGCATAAATGTCACCCCTTTGGAGAGTTTGTGACCTTATATAGTCAAGGATGAAATTAAGGAAATTCTGTCATAACTCTTCTCTACATACCTCGTACTCCACTCATTCTTGATTTACTCTTAATTCTTTCCAGAGGTGAGCTGCCCCCAGTGTCCCATTGATTGTTGATGGCATCTAGAGAAGTACTGAGGTTTCCTATCTCCTGGCTTTATACACACACAGGATGGTAGTGCCGACAGGTCCTTTTTGGATTATCTGGTTTGAACTCATTTGAAAGATTTTTTAAAAATGAGTATGCTGGGGTCATGCAATTTATTAAGTGGTGGAACTAAGATTGAAAGCTAGGTCTGCAGATTCCTAGCTACTGTCCGTTTTTCTCCCTGTTAGGTTAAATTTACTGTCTTACTAAAAGATCCTTTTGAAAGTTGTAAGCAGGTTAGAACAAACATTTAAAAATTTACCTTGTCTTAAACATCCCCATCCCTTTTTTCAGAGGTTTCTTGGATTATTTGACCTCAAGGGATCAATGGTGTTAGCAGGTAAATAGATAAACAATATGGCTTGAGGGTTTTTTCCTCTACAACATCAGTTTTTAACAAATCCATAGTGCTTCCTACTTTAGATGATTATTCTATGTTAAACTTATCTTTTTATGTTTTTAATTTTTGTGTCACAGACCTAAATTGATAATAAGTCAGTAAGAAACAAATGTTTACATTCACTCAGTGAAAAATATGTCTAAGCTCAACATATATTGGAGCTACACATGGACATGTAAGTATCTTGTGTGTGGAGCTAAGGAGGCAGGTGAATGCAGGAACTGCAAGGCAGGGCAAGTTCTCCTGACTGCCTTCTTCCTTTTCCCTCAGCACTGCTTTCTCCAAGAACAGAAAATGAACAAATGCCTGGTGAGTTTTTTCTGTTGTTGTTTATTAATTCCCACTTTTTTTAATGTGTTTTCTAAAATTTTGTAAAGATTAATATTTTTATAATGAAAAAGTAGAAACAGGCATAATTTTACATTAAGGGAAATGTAGGAAGAGTAGGAAATACAAAGTGGGACAGTTGGTAAAATTAGGTGTAAGATATTTAATTTTACAGTTAACCAAGTTATTGTAGAATTTCTTTGATCTTTCTAATAACAATACTGAAATAAATGCATTATATTGCCTGTAATCATTGCTTGGTGGAAACAGCAGAGTGCTAAGGTAGAACTTAGTGCATATAGTTTTCAGATTTGAGTTGACAGCTCTTCCATAGTTCTGCTTGATCCAGGAATAAAGTGAAGATCTGGTTGAATGGAGAGACTTTATGTTCCCAAGATAACTCCCCATAAATGTATATGTCAGCATGTTTGTATTTCTATGTGAGGAGTAGACATTTCTGTCTTTCATTTCTGCATTTGTCATTCACATTTCAACCCAATGAATGCAATCTTGGTCCTTCACCACTGCTAACTTGAATCAGTTCTGGAAAAGGCCACCAAATTGTAAAATTCAGTTTTTGTTTTTGTCTTTCTTGACCCCTGTGCAGTATTTGACACTTTTTATCTATAGTCTGTTTTGAAAGTCTCCTCTGTTGTTTATCGTACTGCCCTCATAGCTATCTTTTCGTAACTCTGATAGAATTTCTTTCTAACACCCCATGAAGTGTCTTTTCTTTTTGTTCCAGACATTGCTTTATCCCTGGGTTATTACTTGACCATTGCTTATCTATGCTTGGCCCATTGTTCTCCTCAGCCTATGTATTTTTCGTGAACAATATTATCTTTTTTTTAAATAAAAGTTTTGAATTGGTAATATATTAACATGGTTTAAAAAGTGATATAGAAGATATAAGTAAAACCTTACATTTCCCTTCTCTCTATACCTGATGCTCCCTCTAAGTACAGTTACATTTATCAGATAAACTGAGACACTTTTCACTAAGTGTCAGCTTAGTGACACTTAAGAGTGAAAGAGGTTCTACAGACAATTGTGCTGGCACGACTGGCATATATTGGTACACTTCCAGACAAACTGGAGTGTTATGGCTGCCCTGCTATTGATATCCATTATTAATAGTTTTTTTTGTTTGTCTTCCAGGTATTTCTTTATTCAGTTAATACAAAATATGTATGCATGTTCTTGTATGCCGTCTCTCTTAAACAGAAATGTATTATCCTTAAATGCTTCTCAAGTTTAGATGCAGCTGTACATCACTGGCATTTTGTTAACATACTGATTTTGATGTAGTAGAGCTGGGTGTGGTCCTGAATTCTCTATTTCTAATAAACTCCCAAATTAAGCTGATTCTCTTGTTAAAGGAACCACACTTTGAATAGCAAAGTGTGTTTTTTGCTATTTTTTTCCACTTCTTTTTTATCCAGTCTCAGAGATCTCTCTGTAATAGAACATGGATTGTTGCTTCATTTTATCTTCATTTTATGTTACAGTTGTATAGCAAATCAATTATGGATGTTTCATAGTTTATTTAACTAGATATTAACTTCTAGGTGTTAATCTTTTTCTACTAAAAGCTATGTTTTAATGAATAACCTGAATAATCTGATAGATTTATTCTATCAGATAAATTACCAGAAGGATCACCAGATCAAAGGGTGAATACAGTTGATAATCTTGATCAGTTTGGTAGGATTATAATATCATTTTGTATTCCCTTTACACAACATGATACTGCTTATTTCTCCATACCAATTCTTTATACGTTATGTGGTTCAACTTTTGGCCACTGATAGGTAAAAAGTGATGTTTTATGTAGTTTGCATCTGCAATATCCTGTGAGTGAAGCTGAATATTTTTTCATGTACCTAGAAGTTGTATTAATGTTTCAGTGAACTATCTGTGCTTACCTTTTGTCTATTTTGCTCATAGGTTTTTGGCTTTTGTTTATTTTTTTCCAGTGTCTAGCTAGCTCTTTATACACTCATATTAGGGATACTAATAGTTGTTTATTATATGAGTAACAATTTTCTGGTATATCGTTTGTCCTTTGATAATTGCCCATGATATTTCCCCTCAATGCAGATATTCTGTTTCAGAAGACCACATTTCACTTACTCATCAGATTTCCTTAGGCTCCAGTTGGCTGTGACACTTTCTCAGGCTCTCCTTGCTTTTGATTAACTTGTCAGTTTTGAGGAGTAAACTCAGGTGTTTTGTAGAATGTCCCTCAATTAGGAGTTGTCTGCTCTTTCTCATGTTGGACTGGGATTATGGGTTTCTTGAAGGAACAGGTAGTGTCATTTGGGCACGTCTAATCAACAGTAAAAGTTCTATCGAGTTGATATATCATTGCTGATCACCTGGCTGAAGTCTTGTGATCAAGTTTCTCCACTGTAAAGTTACTCTTATTTCCTTTATTTTCATACTCTACTCTTTGGTAGGAAGTGGGGAGTGTTAACTTAAAAATAAAAAGGCTTTTTGTTATTATTGATTTTAGAGAAAGAGAAAGGATAAGAGAGAAAGAAATCAAATTGATTTGTTGTTCCACTTATTTATGCTTTCATTGGTTGATTTTTATGTGTGTCCTGTGTGGGATCAAACCCAGAACCTTAGGGTATTGGGACAACACTCTTATGAACTACCCAGCCAGGGCAAAAAGGCCTCACTTTAAAATAAAGTGAGAGGCAGAAAGTATTGAGGTCAATAAGAATAACTACTTTGAGAATCATTAATTCAGGCTGGAGCCTAAATACTGTTCCAGTTAGGAGACAAAAACATTGGGTATTTATCTATAAGAAAGGGGAGGGAACAATTGCATCAATAAAAGGAAGTTATTTCTGTTGGTGCAGATAACATAATGATGCTAGTTCTAAATAATGTTTTTTCATGTCCTATATTTTAAAATTCTATTTATAGTTATGCTCACTTTTTTATTTTTAAAAATATATTTTATTGATTATGCTTTTACAGTTATCCCATTTTCCCCCTTTATTCCCCTCTGCCCTCCACACCCCCTCCCACCCACATTCCCCGCCTTTAGTTCCTGTCCATGGGTCATACATATAAATTCTTTGGCTTCTACATTTCCTATACTATTCTTAACCTCCCCCTGTCTATTTTCTATCTACCATTTATGCTGTTTACTCTCTGTACCTATACCCTCTCTCTCCCCCTCCCCTGCTGATAACCCTCTGTGTGAACTCCATTTCTCTGATTCTGTTCCTGTTCTACTTGTTTGCTTAGTTTGTTTTTGTTTTAGGTGTGGTCTTTAATAGCTGTGGGTTTGTTGTCATTTTACTGTACATATTTTTGATCCTCTTCTTGTCTAAGATAAGTCCCTTTAACATTTCACATAATAAGGGCTTGGTGATGATGAACTCCTTTAACTTGACCTTATCTGGGAAGCACTTTATCTGCTTTTCCATTCTAAATAATAGCTTTGCTGGATAGAGAAATCTTGGATGTAGGTCCTTGCCTTTCCTGACTTGGAATACTTCTTTCCAGACCCTTCTTGCCTTCAAGGTTTCTTTTTGAGAAATCAGCTGATAGTCCTTTGTAGGTAACTGTCTCCTTTCCTCTTGCTGCTTCTAAGATTCTCTCCTTATTTTTAATCTTGGCTAATGTAATTATGATGTGCCTTGGCTTGTGCTTCCTTGGGTCCAACTTCTTTGGGACTCTGTGAGCTTCCTGGACTTCCTGGAAGTCTGGATTTCCAGGATTTCCTCTGCCAGGTTGGGGAAGTTCTCCTTTATTATTTTTTCAAATAAGTGTTCAATTTGTTGCTCTTTCTCTTCTCCTTCTGGGACCCCTGTGATTCGGATGTTGGAACATGTAATGTTGTCCTGGAGGTTCCTCAGCCTCTCCTCACTTTTCTGAATTCTTGTTTCTTCATTCCTTTTTATTTGAATGTCTCTTCCTTCTGCTCCACACCATTGATTTGACACCTGGTTTCCTTCCTGTCACTGTTGGTTCCCTGCACATTTTCCTTTATTTCCCTTTGCATAGCCTTCACTTTTTCCTCTATTTTGCGACCATACTCAACCAATTCTCTGAGCTTCCTGATTACCAGTGTTTTGAACTGTGCATCTGATAGGTTGGCTCTCTCTTCTTTGCTTAGTTGTAATTGGGGGCGGGGGCTCTGCCCACAGAGCCCTCCTGTCTATTACAGATGAGAATATTCTACCAAGACATGATCTGCTTGGGGAAAAAAGGTGGCCAATCTCTCAGAGAAGAAGGGCTTTGAGCCTGTTCCTGAATGGGCTTTTATTGGGTTTAATTTGCATAGGAATACCCGGCATATGTGTAAAGCTCATTCATTGTCAGGAAGTAATGATTAAATAATGGTTAACATTCAAAGAACTATAGGACTTATTCTGAGTCAGGGTCAGATAGCCAAAGGGCCATACAACTTTGGGAAACAAACTCATTTTATACTTGGACCCTTATCATTTAAATTGAGAATATTCTTAGCAAAGCAGCTGTCACAGGATTTTATGCATTCTTTCTTAGGCCTGATTGCCCCCGGGAATTGCCCTTTCCACCACAGGGCCACACCCATTTCCAGCATTGTTTTAGGCTTAAATCAGGTGGGGGTTGCAGGCAGCCAAGAGATTAGGAGAGTTTTTACAGATAGAATAAGGACTCAGGCTACGACAAGGCTGAGGGATGATGGAACCTCACCCCTTTTCTGTAGTCCCTAAGTCCTTCCCTGATGGCCCCTTTGTGACTGTGCCTGTCTTAAGTTATCCTTCCCTTGAGGAATCTTCCCATCATTAGCTAACCAGTCATCCACCCTGGGGCCAGGCAGGGTGAAGTAAAGGGGGCAGAGGCTGTGCCCCTGCTGGGAGGATAAGCTTTGTCTCCTTTGTGGCTAATGGTCCCCAGGTCCTTTTTTCAGCCTTAGCCATGGGGGGGTTACAGCTCCTGAAAAGCGAGAGGATGGTTCCCAGTAGTTGTATTTTTTC